CTGGGTCAGCGCCGGGGGCCGCAGGAAAGGTTTTTCGAGCGAACAGAGCACATTCATACCCCTGTCTATAGGTACCGCCTATAGGTACTGCCTATAGGTACCTCCCATAGACGCTTGGGGGTGGGTGGGGTGGGTGGGAGGCCTGGAGCTAATTGCAAAGAGATTAATTAGGAAGGAAGCCCTGGTAATTTCATTTAGGACGTGAGCTTTGCAGGGACAGGGTCCTGCCCACCCTGCAAACGGTTTTGGCATAACAGTGGCCGACGGGGTCAGCGTGAGCTGTCCCATGGATGGATGGAGGGATGTACAGATAGGACGGATGGATGGATAGATGGACAGACAGAAGAATAGAGGGATGGACAGAAGGATGGGTGGATGGATGGATGGATGGATGGAGGGATGGATGGATGGATGGATGGATGGATGGATGGATTGCAGCCCTGTCTAGCAGAATTTGGGGGAAGCAAGTGTGTGGGGGTCTCTGCTCCCCAGCATGAGCGGGGGTGGAAGCAGAGAAGGAAGGGGACCAACAGCATGGGGTGGTGGGGACATCTGTCCAGGGAGAGGACGCGTGTCCCCGAGGAGGGTGCTCTAGGCAGGGACACCATGGGTGTCCCCACCTCTCCCAAGCTGGGTGAGCCAGCCAAGGCTGCAGGTGACATCACAGAATTTGATGCTATTGAGTTTTCTTGCGGGAGCAGCAAGGCACGGGGTGGGGGGGGTGGGGGTGGGGGTACAGCAGGTGCCCCCTCCCACCGAGCTGGGTGAGAGCCCTGGGGGACCAGCCCTTGCTGGCTCTCCCCACCCGGCGCGTGGGAGGATGGCGGCAGCGAGAAGGAGGAGAGGTACCACTCCTGCTCAACACGCCATGGCTGCAACACGCCGGGCTGTGAATTACAATCTTCTCGCAGGCAATAAATGCTGCGTTGTATAAATCAGCGCGCAGGGCTGGCGGGATGCGCTGCTGCCGCTCACGCCAGAGGAAATTAGAGACAAAACCGGCCGCGCCTCCTCAGCCACCCTTCTGCCAGGAGCAGGGCTGAGCGAAGGGGCTCCTGCAAATTCGTCTCAGGGAGGAAAACAGGCCAGGTGGAAATTTCCATCTTTTCTCCTTGGCTGAAATAGCCAGAGTTTGGCTCAGAGCAAACCAGACTGCTCTGCGGAGCTCTGCCCAGAGCCAGGGGCTCAGCTTTCCCTGCTCCCTCCTTGGCTGAGCACCTGCAAAGCTCAGTGCACTAGTGCAAGGGGGGATTTTTCAGGCTGCTTGTTTTGGCTGGGTTTGTTCAGCTCTAATTTGATAGTGCCAGGTTTACAACAAGACATTGTAAAATCTCAAAGCGCCTCACTCCTCCTGGGGTATGTCCCCTTGCCCTACACCAGACCCCATCACCCCCTGCCAGGTACCTTGGAAATTTAAGAAAAGGGGGTGACTGTGGTGGGGGTTCCCTGGCTGCGCCTGCCGCTGGTTGGCACCCAGACGGCGCGAGTGCACTACAAAAAGAGCAGGACGAGCTGAAGCATATGTGTGCTCGCCTTTTCACGGCTTGTTGGCGAGGCCCTGCTGCCTCGGCGCTCGCCAGGCAGCATTACTCACTGCCTTCCAAAGGGATTCTCCCCGTGAGCCGCGTCTCCCCATCCCAAAGCCCCAGGTATGGAGCTGGGCGGGGTGTGTCTGTAAAAGCGACCAAGCTCAGGGGAGCACCTCAGCTCCCAAATGCACTTGGTGCTCCCTGAGCCTCGGGGAGATGCTGCGACCAAACACCTCGTGGCAAATAACAAGCCCCTGACTTTTACTGTCCTGTCTAAAATCACACGACCTCTTGATCCCCATTTTGGGGGACACGGGGGTTCCCTTTCTGCTATTTCTGCTGTGGGTGCATTGGGGCTGTGCTGGGGTAACCGAAGAAACTGCTACGGCTTGGAGGTCTATGGGGGACCACAGGGAGATGAATCCATCAGGGTGAACTTCTCCGAGTGCTTTCTCTCTGCCTTCCCCATCCCCAAGGACAGTGTTAGACCCAAACGACACCATCCACTGCCCCGAGAGCATGGGCGGGCTGAGCCGCCTCTGCCCGACGGGGGCATGAGGAGGGGTCCCATGAGCTGGGCTCTCCCTGAGTTTTGCTGGGCCCCAACCCCCCCCCCCCCCCCCCCCCCGGGGGGGGGGCGGGCGGCCCCGCCTCTGCCCGACGGGGGCATGAGGAGGGGTCCCATGAGCTGGGCTCTCCCTGAGTTTTGCTGGGCTCTTCAATTTTTTAAGCTGGCCCTGAATAATTCAGCTTTGGATGTAGCTGGCTTGAGGTTGGTGAGCACGGATGCTCCTTGGGTTTCTGCTTGACCCACTTTGAACAGCCAGGAAAACCTGCCAGGCACGACACTCTGAGCGCGACAGGGCGAAGCTGGCTCAGAGACCCTGGTTCCCATGGCAGGAGGGACAACCTGCGCACACAGCCCCATCTCGGGGTCTCCCCCCGCACCCTCACATCCAACAACATGGACCACAGAGCATCCCTCACCCAAACCATAGCTTTTT